CTCTGTACTGGAACATGGAGATTTACACATGTGGTGACATTCAGCACTACAGCCACTGGTGTTGTGTCTTAAATCCCTAAAGACGACACAGATGGAGGCTACAAGGAGAAACAAATGTGAACAGTGTGATTACTGAGCACCTGATGTGTGACAAAGGGCAGGAAGAGATTAGCAATAATGATGGACACAGAGCGCTGCGTGCCCCTAGTGAGTCCCAGACGCTGCACCAGAGCCAGCCCAGCGCCGTGCTGGAGCCCGGTGTGAGCAGAAGCCTTCTGAGGGTCAGTGCCCAGAGCAGGTTACTGAAGGAGGTCGCTGGTCAGAAGAGGTAGACAGGTACTCCTTCAGAAACAAAAGATGATTTTGAGAATGAAAGCAGCCTGGGTAACGACAGGGGAGTTCACGCAGGCAGAAGAACAGCATCAAGACTGCAGGTTTACCTGGAATGCTTGGAAAAGAGTGCCTGAGCAGACAGAATGCAAAAGGAGGGGACTCGCAGCAGGGCCCAACACCTGTGTAGGAGTGAGAGACCTTCCCTGTACCCACCCAAAAACGTGCTTCAAATCTCTAAACTCAAATCAAAATTTGCTTCACTTTGGAACTTCTAAGCTCACCCTCACACAGCCTTTGCAGTGAGGGTGAAACTTCAGTTGACAGTTTAACACATTCCTGGCACCTGCAGATCTCATAATTGAGCAGGGAATACGACATGAGATCAGCACATGGCTGCGTCCCTTCTGTGAGGCCGAGCGTCCCACACCAGCAAACAGCTCCGCTAATGCAAGGTGTGTAATTTAATAAGCCATTAACTCAAACCTGAGGTGAAGTAAATTCAGCCCATTATACATTCCAAAATAGTATTAGAATTCAATTTAAGTGTCACCAAAAGCCTAATCCCCAGAATACAGAGAATGTTAATCAGTGACTTGGAGTTGGTGGTTTGATTTAATTTCCTGCTGCGCTGCGCTGTCGCACGGTTGTGATCCCTGCAGTGAGGATCTCTTGGTGGCAACCCATGGGTCTGAGCACACACAGCCCCAGGGGACCCTCCTGGTGAGCAGTGGGACTGCAGACAGAGCTGTGGGTGCCTCCTGCCTGGAGGTGCCTCAGGCCATGGACGGGCGGCCCCGGGCAGTTTGAGCTGCTGGAGGGCACCCAGCTGACAGCCTTGCATTGGAACTGGGTGGGCTTTGAGGTCCCCTCCAACCTAAGCCATCCTGTGGCTCCGTAACACCGCAGCAGGGATCCCAAGCATCCCTGAAAAGCCGGTTTGTTGTTTTTGTAACCACAGGAGTAAAATACAGCCCTGGTAATGCAGACGCTGCCAGAAGGAGCTGCTGGGAGCAGGCAGAGAGCAGGCAGTTTGCACATGGGCAGTGCCACACTGGTGCCGTGCTGCCCGAAGGATGCACAAAGCGCTGCCTGGTAACACAGCTGGCACGGCACGCTGCTCTCCCCCTGCATTCCTGCACCGATAGCACATGGCACGATTACAGCGGCCATAAAGGGACGGATCCACCGCTTTCAATCCCCCCAAGTCAGATGTAAAGTGCAAATGGTGCATCATTTTCACAAAGAGCCAAAAGCGTAAAACCTGCTTTCCATTTCTGCAGCAGTCGGCCATGTTTTGGACTTTGTTATGTCGCCCCTATAATAACTCCTCCTGATTAGCAACCAAAGCACGTCACAGAGCAGTTTGGGAAATGCATCTCTTCTATAAATGACAACAGATTATTTAAGCAACAGCTAAAAAGCACTCCGACTGCTTTTTCCTTTGCTTGCATTACTGTCAGTCTTCTCGTATATCTCAAGAATGAGCCCAGGATTTTCTTTAAAATGGTGGAGAGCAATACAAAAATAGCGGAGTACTCATCTAAAATAAAGTTATACGTTTGAAATAGTTGGAAATTGTTTTTTAATCACTGCCATTCTTCTTCTGGAATATAATCTGCTGGCCATACGTTTTGCTTTTCTATCCAATTTCTAAGGAAAATGCAGCAAGTGTGTTAATAAATAATTTATAAAAACATTACAAGAGATAAAGCACTCCTGCTAACCCGTTTCCAGCCTCCTTGATACCAGTTCATTTGTAATCCTCTCCTTCCCCCTTTCCTGGAAGATTGGAAGAAGGTTATTGCTGCATTTCTGCACAGCCCCACTCTACTCAACCCGTAGGTGTCAAAGCACATCTTGGTTCTGAAGGCATCCAGACTGATAAAAGGGCGCAGCCCGATCTGAGTTGCAAGTTCAATTTTATATACTACAGATTTTTGTCACGAAAAACATTTTTCACCCCAAAGGGAGGGCTCACAGGTGCTGCTCCTTCAGTGCTCTGTCCTTCCTCTAATGATGGACAGCTTTGTTCTTAAAGAGGGGAAGGAGCTCACTGAAGACAGCTTGTGATGAGCTCTGCCAGATGGAACTCAATTTTAGCGAAGGCAATGGCTCTATAAGAAGTAAAACCCGAAGGAAGAAAAGAAAAAATAGCCTTTGACTTCAACAGATCCTGAAAGTACGTGCAAGTGGAAGCATCTCTGTTTACATCTGCACTACTTAAAAGGCTGAAGGTGGGCTTCAGTGGATACAGATGCCCTAAAGTATGTCTGCATCCACCTCTTCAAGAAGATGATGTTGGCACAGAGGTGGCCCTTGGGGTGTCCCCAGCCCCACACCCCCTGTCAAACAGGCACTGAGTGCCCAATGCCCACCGCTCTCCTTCAGCAGCGCAGCACCTCCATGTGCCACACACTGCACGAGCATCAATGCTTCATCACCGTCATTTCCATCTACCCAAATAAAAAAGAACCATCACTGAGCAACAAGTCTGAAGATTTTTAAGAGACTGCAATATTTCCAATACACGTTTTAAAAGGCCTGACTCTTAAAGCTGTCCCAGGGCAGTGGGAGCTGAGCAGAGGATGCCCTGATCTGCTGGCAGTGCTCTGCCAAGGACAGGGCAGGATGGGTCATAACAAACCATGCCAACTGCTGGCATCACTCCTGCCCCACTGCCCCACAGCCGTACTGCGCAAGAGCAGAGTTGTGAGCGGGCACAGAGCTGCTGCCAGCAGCCATCCACACAGCGGCCCTCCAGGAGCCTGGCATTGGATCCATCTGAGATTCCTGGGGTGCCAATTACCACACACAGAAGGAAACTCTGCATTTGGTATTCAGCTGTGCCAGTGTTTGAAAATAGACTCTCTCTGAGAATCCACATTTTTTCTGTGTTAGTCATTATGGGTACAAACGTTTTTCTTTCCCAGCAACAGAAAATCTGGTGCTGTTTGGAAGGACTGCTCCTAGCTGTGCCCTGCAGCACTGCCCGTGTGCTGAGCCCTTCCAGGAGGTGGAGGGCTGCCACAGAGCTGAGCAGAAGCACTGTGCAGACCTTAGAAAAACATCATCTGTTGTTCACTCTTCTCTCTCTGGCTGCATAACCTTGAGAGCATGACTGAAGGATGCCCACTTAGCCTGGAAGACGCACTCATGAATCACAGGCTCACGTTCCTCGCACAGCAGAGACACAACGTGTCCTTGTTGCTAAATAAAAACACACTGCATTCACAACCAAACGTCCTGCACAAACAGGCTCACAAGGAACACACTTCCAAGTCCGCCCATCTCAATCGCGATCAATTACCAGAGCACAGAACATGGCCTCAATGTTGAACGTGGATGAGCCAGACCTCAGGATACAGGCAAGATCCTCTGATACTGCAGTGCAAGTAATTAGATACAGGGGTGCTAATTGTTTGCTGTTCCACCCACAGCCTTCAGCAGGGACAGCTGGGAGAAGCACTGTGCCGCACCGCGCCGTGCAGCTGGGGATGAATTTAGAATATCCTCTGAATTTTCGTGTCACATCATCCATCACCAGCAGACAGACACTAAATAATAAAACAAACAGCTGTCTGCTGCCCAAGGCAAACTGGACTCTAAGTTTAGAGATTTTGTTCAGTTCAGTGTGCTGAACTGTGAACTTTTACTTTTAATGGCTTCTTTAGTCATGCCTTTGCACAGCTCCCCATCTCACTGCCTGCTCCATCCAACCACAGGTCAGGTACCTGCAGGTCGTGAGGAAAAGCTGCTGCTGCAAGAAAGGGCCTTGAGGTGGGTTCACTGGCTGCGCTCTGCTTTCAGCAATCACACAGCACTGCTTCCCTCCATGGAGGTAAAATACCACTGACTGCAGCAGGGGAAAGGATGCACATAAGAGAGGACAGTGATACTGTGTGCACAGCCCCTTTGGGGACTCCACAGCACAGCCACCATCATAGAGCTGTGGGAGGTCCTTTTATGCAGGCAGCAGCAGTTCTGTTTTAACATGGAAGTGTGATTGCAGATCAAGGGGAAAACACAGGGATATTTTCCATTTTGCCTCCGCACCCTCAGCACTTGTAACCGACGGTAAGGATCAGTACAGGGAGCTGAGCACTCCTTCAGCTTCAGCCCACCCCGGGCAGAGCGCAGCCAAGGGATCCCTGAACACACCAGCACACCCCAGGGTCTGCACTGCACACTGCAGAGCTCAGAAGGCTGGAAGAGCTTTGCTGTGCCCACAGCAGCGAGGACAAAAGTCAGCGAGTAACTCAACAGGACTCCTCCACACCAACCATTCTGCCACCCGCTCCTGATGGAGCCGTGTGCCGTCAGGTTCGCACAGAATTCACACCAGTCCCCAGTGCTGCTTCCTCTCCCCACAGCTCTGCACGCATACACAGCAGCTGGCTTCCCGAGTCCTGCTGCACGGCTGGCTCCAAAATGGAAAAACACAACTAAAAACCTGGAAAAGGTCTCACTTCAGCTGACCCTGTTAAGGATACACATAAGCTGGCAGCAGCTCGGTACTTGCTAGACATTTATCTAGAAAAAGGAGAGACGTACCGCCTTAAGGAAATCCATATCACCTGCAGACAAGAAAATCCCCAAACCATCCAATGCCCAGCCATGCAGCTTCACTTGGAACAATAGCAGGAGGAAGGAATCCAGCATCATCCTACCTGAAGAAGCCAGTAGCACCTTCTGTGAAACGTGGGGATGATGGAGGAATGGACGTAACAGCCGTACAAGCACTAAGGACAGAAACAGAGAAAGCAGAGACAGGATTAGGGAAGGAAATCGTTATTTGGGCTCATGATGAGCAGGTTTACGAGGCAGCACCCAGAACAGGAAGGAGAGACGGCATCTGTTGTCACGCCAGTATTTGCTGCAGTCATTCCAGGGCTTCAGCTCTGCTGATATAACAGAATGGCAGCTCGCATCAAGCCAAAATTTTAGGAGAATACATTTTGAACACTGCTACAGGTTAAAGACCCAACAGTCTTTACACGTTTCTCTAGTTTGTATACAGGTATAAACCTCAGCTGCTGACCCCCAAATCATTCTCAGCCTTTGTGCCAGTCCTGAGAGCAGTGGTGGAGCTCTCCCAGCTCTCTGCAGTCCCACATTGGACCACATCCCCCTCCGGGCAGAGGAACCACCCAGCACCCGATCTGGGGCAGGGCAGAACAAACAGGGTCTGCCTGCACTGCATCCAAACAACTCAACACCCTTCTTTTCTTTTAATGTGACAACCCAACGCCTCTTGGCTTATCACCCAGCTATGTGAACTGAAAACAGAGGGCATGTAAACCCTGCCCACTGCTTCATGCAGGAAAATAAGAAAATGCATTTTTTTCTTATTCTTTACGTTAAATGAACTTTGCTTGCCCAAAAGGACCCAAAAGGAGTAAGGGTAAAGAATTCTTTCTGTAGCAAAATCAAATTTCCAGTGTGTTAAAATCCTAAAACAGCACTATCAGGTGGAAGCTGTGCCCATTACAAACCAACCACACTGAATCATTATTAATTTAAAGGATCCCAGTACAGTTCCTGTTCACAAAACAAGTTTATTGCTAAGAAAGCAATATTACTTTCTGACTCCACTGGCTTTTAATATGTGGGGATGGGGACAGGTGTGCGCATGATCACATATTCCCCTTTGCCAAAGGTGATTAGTTCTCCTTGAACGTAGTGCTTTATACATACCAGGATTCTGCAATTACAGAAGGAAAAAAAGAATCTGAGGGGATTTTGCCCACAGTCCCACACCCTTCAGTAACTGCCCTTCCTTGAGCACCTCCAGGGACGGTGACCCCACTGTGCACCACCACTCTGTCAGACAAGAAATGGCCCCCAGTACCCAGCCTGAACCTCCCGGCACCAGCAGATGCCCCAGCAGGATGGCATAATGGGGGGAGTGCTGCCCTCGGGTGCGTGGGTAAAGGCATGAACAAGTTCACCACCTGCAGGGTCAGCTTGAATATTAAGGGTGTTAAGGTCCACCAGCTTCTATCGCAGAGCTACTTCCAAAATATGGATGGCAAAGATTAACAGTGTTTTAAAACAAGTCAAAGGTATATTTCACATGCAAGAAAAAAGAAAAACTGAGGAGGAAAAAAGAGAGGAAAAAAGAATTCAAAGAAAAGCTTAACATCTTAATCCTGCCATTCAGCATGGGAAAAAAGCAGACTGTTTGCTTAAGATAATCCCTGACAGCAATCCTTGGCTCCACTGAAGGTCTGCACCGTGCGGCTGTGCTGACTCAGGGCTGTCTCCCATGTTGGAAAGCAGTTTGGGAGCTGTGGGGTCACCGAGTCCCAACAGCTTCCCAGTGAGGACCTGGCAAGCAGCACAGCTCTGGGCCTTCCCAACACGTGCATGCAGTGCTGCTGCCTGCCTACCGTGGAGCCCGAGGCAGAAGTTAAAGGACATCAACCTTAGGAAAAGCTAAAGTGAAACAAGTGACAGATCCCAGAAGGGACAACTGCGTGCAGTGCGGTGGAAGAGGAGATCTCCTCCTCACAAGGGTAGTGCCCTGCTCTGTGCATTGCCCAGCCCCTTGGACACCTCCTCCGCTCCAGGCTGCTGCAGCATGCTTAATGCTTTTAGTTAAAGGGGTCTTTAAAACGATCTCTTGCTCAAAACAGACAAAAGGGGTTTCATTAGCTGGGTCTTCCTTTTCTCTTTTTTTTTTTTTTAATGGGGGAGGTAAAAAATGCCAAAGCCTGTGTGTCTGTGGCTACGTTAATGCCGGCTGGGCTCTCAGCCAACACATTAAGTGAAATCGAATTCCTGAAACCAGCTTTAATCAGCAGATTTTTAAGGTTAGAATTACTCTCTCCTCTACAAGGCTTGCCAAGGTTAATTCTGTCCCGAGCATGCTGAATTAATGGCCTGGACAGAGAAGAGCCGTTTTTTCCCCAATTCTCTTTCAAAATTTACAAAATGTCTGGAAGTAAAGAAAGAGCATTTCTGAGCAACTGGAAGGGAGTGGGTGATGGGTTATGGGCTCCGTGTTGAAAACAGAGCCCACAGGTTTGTGTCACTCCATGTGTGAGCGCCGGGCACCACAGGACAGCTCTGGGGAGCCACAGTCACCTTCCAGGGAAGGGATGTGCTTGGCCTCACAGATTATATGAGAATCAGAGGTTTAAATCACAGCTTCGCATCCCCCCAATCCTTGGGCAGACTATAAGCAGGATGAAGGCTTTGGCCAAAGGATGCTTGCTGGGAGGCAACAGCCACGTGAAGGAGCCTACAGAGTAGGGATGAGCTCCACTTCATCTCATACCTTTCTAAAATTGACTGATAATTGAACAAGAAAGGGCTTTTTCTGGACAGAGAGGAATAGCTGGGCAATTAGAACTGCCTGCTCTTCCATTTATATGCAGTTCACGTCTTGCATTATCAAACTCCTGAAAACTGGAGAAAAAAAAAATCAAAGTATTAGTGGATTTTTCATCCTGAGCTCCTTAAAGTGATTGCAGCTTATTTAAAAATAATACAATAATGCTGAGGTGTTCTTCCTTAACAAGAACACCTTGGGAATGGAAGCAGAGAGCAAGGAATCAAAAATTCAAGATGGGGTTGGTCAGGCTTTGAAATTCCTCTCCCCAGTGAGTTACACTAGTGGATATTTATATAAAAAAGTAGATTTTGTTCAGATTTTCACACTGAATTCCCAATTCCCTTAATAAGAAGCTAAATCAATCTTTAGAGAACAAACCAAGTAAGACCCGTGGCTCTAAATTATTAAAATATACTCTAGTCATCTTATGGCATAAGGCATCATTCACCTTCCAGCAGCTCACACACACCGCGTGTGCCCCGTCCACGATAGAGGGAACAGATCAGGTCCTCTGCCTGCAGAAGGGAGGCAAGGGGCAGCCCTGGCTTCTTGCACAACGCTGCTGCCCTGGTGCCTCTCCTTTTCCACAGGGAATAACACAGAGCTTGCAGCAGAATCTACTGCTGCCATGGATCAGACCTCCCAGGAAAGACAAATGAGGCTTTAGCTTCATTCTTTGCATTGCAAAGATAAGACAGGGGTCTCCTAAATTAACTGTGGTACCTGAGCCCAATCAAGTTCTGCTCTCGACCTCAGCCTCCACGTTATTTCCTCACACACACCACAGAAAAAGTAGAACAGTAATTTAAGCCACGCTTGCTGTACGTCTGAGAAATGCAGATGTAGAAGAAACAAGCTTTCTGTCGCCTTCCACGACTTTAAATACGGGCGTACTCCAAGGGAGCGCGGCCCTGCACAGCAGCAGCACTGAATCTCATGGCCATGCAGAAGTGCTCCGGATCTCAGGCATTTGAGGACAATGCAGTGGAAAGTGTAAAGGACAGCCCAGCACTCCTCCCTGAGAGGTTCATTCTTCCAGCACTGCAACCTGTGTGTCAGAGACAGCACTCAGAACGCAATGGCAAGAACCCTGCCCTGTGATTGATGCTCCCATTCTCTCTCCATATGGACACTGTTGCTATCCCACTCTTTTCCCTGACTCCTCCACATCCCAGCAGATGCTCTGCCCAATCTTCCTGAAAACAGTATCTGAATTCCATACAAAACGTAAACACCACGTGCAGAAGTTTGCTGGCTGCTTATGTTAATGTATTTGTTTCACACATAGGAGCCATTTTCCATTTGCATCAGTAACACCCACAACATTCTCCGCCACTTTTCTCTGAAGGGGCAGAGCGTGGTTAGAAGAGCAGGGCTTTGGGTTTTATTCTGTAAGACGAGCTGCCTATTTGCCACCAAATGAGTAAACGGCAGGGAAAACCCTCAGCCTCAGTGTGTCATCTCTCCTCTCAAACAAATCCGAAGGAAGTGCCCTCTGAGATCAGGTTATCGTGTAGCAGATGGTCTTTCCTTCAGGACACGGATGCTAAAGCCACAGACACGTTCCAAATCCATTTAAACATCAGATTACACTCGCCCCTGTCAGCTGAAGGAGTTGGGAGACAGCAGCAGCTCCAGCCCGCTCCATTAATCAAAATTCAGCGAGAAAAGCCAACATGCCGCTCTAAAATCTCCTGACTCGATGCCAGCACCCCGCACAGGGATCCTAATGCCATCAATCTTCCTTTTTCTCCCCGAGCAGTAAGATGCAGCTGGGGAGGGGGAGAGCAATTACAGAGGCTTGGCCAAAGGAGCAGAGCCAGGAGAAGATTTTTTTTTTGACAACTCTCGAAATGATCCTGAGTTGATGGGTGTCAAAGGGGAAACCGACCTAAGCAGCCCTTGGTGCACATCAGCCCCAGCTCAGCCTTCGCAAACACGGACGTGTAACAGCGGCTGAACCCAGCAGCTTTGCACAGCCATGCAGGAGGGCAGATGGGTGACACCCCAAGGGGTTAATTTTGATCTAAAAGGAAAAAACGTGTCATAACATAGGGAGGCATCCAACGTTTCCTGCTGTGCCATCTCCACCGCAGCAAGTCTTCCACTAAACCACTGCTAAACAGGTTTTCTCACTACTGATCTTAGAGAAACAGACAGCAGTTGAGGTTTTTCCCCCACAACATTTCTACTTTGTGCCACTGCGCAGAGTAACAGACACTGCCAGAGCTCACTGTGCCCTCAGGACCTGGAGCCAAGCTGTATCCCCACAGCAGCCGTCCCCATTCAGGGAGCTTTTGTTACCAAGGATTTTTCTAGTTACCTCATGACTTGGTAGGAAGCAATTTTGAAACACTCAATATTGAATGGAGAATTTCAACGCTTCATGGGTGATTTTCCAAA